CGCAAACATCAAGGATGCATCCATTTTTGTAAAAATCCTATAGATGATAAAGTGCATTAGAAGCCTTAGACTCACTTTGTCAAAGAAGAAATTCAAAGAATAGATATAGGAAGTCCTAAACTTGGCCATATAGGACTATTACCATCAATGATCCAATTTGGCCTCAAATATCAGACGACATGAAGACATATCATCCGTAATACTAGTGCTTCCTTTTGACAGCACACCACAAAACAAGCCTCAAGGAGAAAAGACAACATAGAAAAAAAAAAATAATGTCTTGCCAGTACCGCCTAAGGAGAAAAAAAAAATAGTGTCTTGCCAATACCGCCTAAGGAGACTTTTCGATGTGTTCTTTTTTTTTTTTTTTAACCAGAATTGCCTATGTCGCATTACAGCTTTTTCAGTCATCAGCGCACTTGCAGCAAGCATGGTTAATGTCCTTCCTTTTGATAAATTAATTTTTTTTTTTTTTGATAAAATTTTTCTCAGACGATGAAAATGACAGACAGACAGATAGACGGATATGTCTATCTGTCGTCATCGTTGTAGTTTTCTTTTTCATCGATATATTGATTTGACAAAAAAAAAAAAAACCAAACGAAAAACATTTATGATGAGAAATTTCTTTTCTTTTTTTTTTAACAAATATAAATTTTACAAACTTTTATCATTTCTATAGATTATAATTGTAATATTGATAAAATTATCCAAAAAATGATTAATAATTTCAACAATTACAAATGATTATTTTGGGTGATAGTAATCATTTGAAATGTTATTTATAATTGATAAAATTTAGCAAAAATTGATTTTAGAAATAAAAATAATTTTATAATTTTAGTAATTTTTTTCTCTTTTTTTTCAAAAATTACTAAAATTATTGCAAAAATGATGCAAAAAATAAAAAGGAGAATTTTTTCGTTTTATTCATTGATAATAATAAATATTCATTGTAAAATAAAATTACGTTAACATTGATAAGATGATAATATTGCATGTATGAATAAGCATGAAATGATAGATGTATTAGGAAAGAAGAAAGATAACCAGTTATATTGACCTAATATTGTATAGTATTATCATCTAAATCGGACAACTACATATCAACAGAAATGATTAATTTGATGATCAATTGTTTATTAATCTATATCGTCCATATTTTCCCCTCCCACATTTCGTACTCCATTTAATTTCTTTTTATCATTAATATTTTACTCTGTAAATAATATCAATGAAAAGAAAAAATTACCTTGTCATATGATTTGTTTTTACACTGCAAATAAAAATTTGCTATGATAGTAACTAACGTTCAAATATACAAAAATGATATGATAAGCGTAGCATATAACAAGAAATTCATTAATTCTCATATATATATATATATATATATACAAATATAAATATAAATATAAATATAAATATAAATATAAATAATAAATAATAAATATAAATACAAATATAAATATAAATATAAATACAGACATAAATATAAATATAAATATAAATATAAATACAAACATAAATATAAATATAAATACAAACATAAATATAAA